TATTATTATTTAAACTAAGTGTTGAAATAACTGAAAATGTCTTACACTACAGAACAGAGAATTTTTGTAGTAGAAAATTACTCAAAATAAAAATCCTTATCAAGCACTAAAGTGACTGTTTCTATGAGATACCTCAAATAATCTATGCCTACAAAGATTTATGTTTACAGATATTTTTAATGAGTAGCAGTTTATGAAGTCTCTATGTAACCAAACAAAGGTGCCTGAAACAAATGTTATGAGGAAAGACATTAAGACATTTGGACATGTTTAGAAGTTATTCCCATAAAATCTTTAAAATTTTTAGTTAAAGAAACTGAATTATTTTACAGTTTTGTTCATATAGCTATGGAAATAATCAAATTTCAGCCTTATAATGTAAGAGTTGTTCACAAGCTTCTTTACATGAACTTGAGGGATAACATTATATACTCCAAATAAGAGTTTTCGTTTTATCTCTTGAATTTATAGTAAATAAATGTTTGAGATTTAAGTGTGTCTTGCAATGTGTAACAGAGTAATAAGAAGTATATCCAGCTCATGGCATTGCTAAGATTGATTCACAATGTCACCAAATTTTTCATACTAATATTTGCAAGTAAAATTTTCATTTGCTCACCCAGTAAATCAAATTTTTGTATCACCTAAATAATTAAAATTTTTGAATGCGAAAATAATAATATGGATTGTTTAATAGGAATTTTGATGAAGAATATAGTCAGGGCAGTGGTGCTACATTTGAAGATTCATATGAACATGAATTAAGAGAATATGGATATAGCCAAAGAGAACGCAGGGAATATGCCAATGAAGACAGAAATACAAGAGGGAGGAGCTTCAGTCCAGTAAGAAGACGTGAAACTGATAGTATAAGCCCACCTTTAAAAGAAAGGCATAGAGATGAAGTTAGTAGTAGTCCACACTCAAGAATAGATAGGTCAACTGGAAGAGTAGAAAAACATGATGATCATCATCCTAGAGAGAGGTAGTTAGCATTGTATTTTATATTAAAATATGAATGAAGGGATACTAGTATAATCAATTTTAGTGTGATAAAAAAAATGAAAATCAAGTAATTACAAAAATAATTAATGAAACTTTCTGTTTTCATTCATCTATTTTCAGAATTACCTATTTGTAAATATAACATGAACCATCTTTATGAATTTCACTTTGAAATGAAATAAAATTTGATTAATGAACCAAGTACAGTACACTATTACTAATCCAGCCTCTCAATTAACCAGCATACCTCCTGACCTCCTGTGTGATCCCATATGCTTTCATTTTCACGAAAATATTAGTCATGTCATACATCCTGTTCTCCTGTTTACTTGGGTTTCATTTGTATATAATATTGCATGTTGGCACACTGTGTTTTTTGCTCACTTTCCTCCTAAAAGAATTGGTACTGAAGAGCAGCAGGCCATGTTGTTCATTGCTTTTAGGCCTATACACTCTCAGTAATTTAGCAATCTTGCACAGAAGATTACTGGCACTCCTCTGTGCAAGAATGGCCAAATCAGCAACAGTATAGTGTACTTTCATTAACTTTATTGCTTAATGAAAGTGCTTGGTTCATTAATCAAATTTTATTTTATTTCAAAAAGTAATACTTAAAGACAGTTATAACTTTTTGGCTCATATTTTTAGTACTCCTTTGTATATACACAAATCAAAAATTTCAAACCTCTCAGCAAACTGAACAAATATAATACAACATACAAAATCTTAAAAATTCCAGCAAATAACTTGTAGTGAACCAAAATACCAACAGTAAATAACCAAAAATTGTATCTCTAATGTTTGTAATACATCATGATTCTTTCAAACATTCCAATTTAGAACATTGGACAGTCCTGATGCAGATATATAAAAAGATAATTCTGAAAATAGATAAAGTTTTATAAAGATTATATATATGTGGGTTATTCAGTGTAATTATATAAAAAGAACAACCTGTATGGTTATATCTTCTAAATTAATTAGTCTGAAAACATAGATTAAACTGAAGTCTGGGTAATATAATTGGAATGCACCTGCTCAGTAAGCAGAAGTTATGAATTTGAGTTTCACTTTGGATCAATCTTTTCTTTTAGAATATTCTAAATTAATTGATTTAATTCTAAGTATTAAATTTAACACAGGAATGGTGACTTAAATGCCCACTTTTAGTCCAAATTATGTAATATCTGCATATTTAATTAGCCAATTTATAGCTTGATAATGAATCTGGCCTTAGCATTTGATTGTCCAGTAAGTAAATACATGGACTGATTTTATTTCAAGTAAAGACAGCAATATGGCTCACTTGAACTGCATGTCCAATATAGCTCATATGACTGCCTACTACTATACAAAATATGAATGTTTTGGCTTAATTTCAATGAAATTATTAAAGATGACATAAGAGCCATTGAGATATGCTCAAAACAGTAAATTGTGATGTGTTTTCTCATAAATAAAGGTGCCTGTAGTACAGAAACTTACTGCAGATTTTTAGCAGTGTTCAAAGATAACACTGTAAACAATCTTATAAATAAAGGGAAAATTCTATTTATTTGTGAGATTGTTGTATCTGTATGAAGTATGTGTAGACATGTTTGTGTTTGGATTTGCAGTGTCGTTGAATTTTGTCATGCTTTCTCTTGGAAATTTATCTTTTTATTTATACAGTGATATACATTCCTATAAACTCATTGCATTGTATTTCATGGAAAAATTCATGAAAGTCCACAAATACCTTTCAAATGACCATGAATGTTTAATTTAGCAAATCAATATATGACATCTGCCTACAGACTAATCTGCACCAAAACACTACAACACACAACTTCTCATTTAGTTATATTTATTTTAGAAATAGCAAGTTAATAAAACAATTTAATTATTAAGAATACATGATCTAATTATTAATGATGTGCAACTAGCTAAAACTTGTTACCATTTAATCAGTTATTGTGCCTTCACCAGAATATCATTAATTTACTATACCACTTTTGATATACAATTTAATGATATGTAAATATTTTGAAAGTATTCAAAAAATCTTATTACAGTAGAACCTCGAAAACTCGGCTCTCGATAACCCGGCACTCCGGATAACTCGGCCACACCCTGGCAGGGCAAAAAAATCCCCAGTTAATTAATTTTCATTATAGACAGCTTTATAAAAGTATAAAAGCTCTCATAAAGTATTTTTCTGAGGTCTGTCTTATCAGGTAAATTACTGTACACAGTGTATTCATTAATTTTCATTTTCATGTAGTAAAGGCTCTATGCCTTCATAAAGGACGTACTTTTCCTTTGTTTAAGGGTATTTGGGCAGTTTATTCTCTGTTATATTCTCAAGTAAACAATACATACAAGTACAGTACAGTATTTTCTGAGGAAACACTCGTACTTATTCTTTTTAACCCCGTTCCCGATAACCCGGCATTTTCACAAACTCGGCCACCCTTCGGTCCACATTAGGCCGAGTTTTCGAGGTTCTACTGTACTATTATTTCCCATCTATTTTCAATCTTTCTTTGGAACATAATTATTTCCTCTTAAAATATATAACTTTAAATTGTTTTGTTACAGATTACTCTAAGATTTACTTTCTTGATCATTTGAGAGAAATGTTTTAACCTTTGCAAATATTTCTGTAAAATACAATGAAATAAGTATACAAAGATACATAAAAAAAAACAAAAATGATTTAATTAAGAGAGGATTAGAAAAAAACCAATGACAAAATTCATTGACACTACAACAGGAGTAATTATTAAAAGCATATACTCATCAACTAACAAAACCATTTATAGTTTTCAAATTTGTGTGAGGTTGTTAAGATAACTCAAGCATTGTCAGGTACAGCAGATAGTGCATTCATGTTTAAATAATGCAGTTACTTTCCACATTGGTCATAAATTCATTGAACTTAGAGGTTGGTAAATCTCTGGCTGTACCAACTCATAAGTGTCCCTACAGATGTAGATACAGTGTTTAAAAGATCAAGGCCTTCTTTGTTAAATTGCACTCTATACTAGTATCAGTGAAAGTTCTGTGAATGCTTGAAGAGAAATATAGAAAAATATTTTTGGAATATATGAGGGAAGATTGGAATTTTCAAACAAAAGCATCATCTTATTGCAGGCATCAGTGTCAAAATAAGATCCTATTGTAGCTGCTCACTCTTGCCAGAGTTCATAATGTGTGTCAAAGTCAAAGTAGTCCTGGTAGTTATTTTTTGTGATAACTTTCAGGCTCTTGTTGATGCAGCTTTTACTTTTCTTGATTATTAAAACCTTTCATTTTTCAATTTTTCTCATTCAGGAACAGATAAATATATGCAGGTTGAGAAAACATTAGCAATGGTACCTCAATCTGCCTTTTTGTTATGCCTTTCTTTATTAGTTATTCATTAACCATCAATGACCAGTGGAAGCTGTGAAATTATGAAAACCCTTAAAGACATTATATAAAAAATGGTTTCCAGAACTGCGTAGTAAAGTGGATAAATGTATGGATGTTGGAAGAAATATATAGTTGCAGAAAGCATTTACTTTGAAAGTAGTATTATGAAAGAGTGTGTGCATTCAAAAAAAAACCTGTGCCATTTTTGACTTTGCCTCTTATAATGAACTCATGAATGTATATTCATATATTGAATCATTTATATTTAAATTTGTCATAGTAAACTAATAAATCTAGCTTAAAAAGTTTTGTAGTGTTTGTATAAAATATTTTATTATTTATCTATTTTCTGTATTGTTTAATTTATCAAAATTGAAATTATAAATTGAACTTAATAAGTCAAAATTATAAATTATTTTTATTTTAAAATTTTATTATAATTTTATTATTTAATTTAATTTCTCTTTTTTTACACAAAAGAATTTTAAAAACTAATCTGGCATCCAGTGTAGTTATTTGTAAAGTTAAAAATTGATAAATTAGTATATACACATATCTATATATACAATAAATATATTTGTTTTTTTATTTTATTCTAGATATAATTCAAGGGATGATGATACTGAGGAAGGTCAAAGTCTTGACGGAAAAAATGAACGTACCAAATTTGGAGAAACAATTGATCGTCAGTTTCGGAAAAAGAGCAAACACAGAAGTAGCATTAGTGATCAAGATAGTCACCATAGTCAGTCACCACCACATTCCCGTCATCAAAGCCGAAGTACTAGTCCACCTGGTTCCAAAGAAAAGAAACTTCAAAAAGAACGTGAAAGAGTTCATCATAGAACAAAAAGTCCTAGTAGTCATAATTCTTCACGAATGAGCAGTCCAACAAAAGATATTACTCAGAATGAATCAATAGATGATAAAGACATTTGCAGTGATCAGCGGGATCTTACAAAACATAAAATGACTGATAAAACTGAGAGAGAATTTGTTTCTCTTAATGTACCAATATTTTGTTCTAAACAAGATGATAGTGTTTTATCAAATGATTTGAAATTACAAATTAAGCCAGATACTGAATCATCAAAGAAGAAAATTCATTTGGAAAATGAATCACTAGATCATCTTCTCTCAGGTTCAGAAGCAGCTGGCCGTATTGAACGAAAAAAGAGACTTTTGTGTGTTTTGAATCGAGATTCTAATTTTATGGGAAATCACATTAAAGATACCTTAGATCCATCACAATTGAAGATTCGTAATGCATTGAGTGCAAAAGTCACAAAATCTGATAGTGGAATGGAAAGTATAACAGAAGGAAATAATAATGAAGAATGTAAGAGTGATGCAGAAAGTGGAGAATTACTGGATGAAGTATATCCAATAAAGAGTAATACAACTGACTGTACTAATAGTGAATTAAAATATTTGAAAAAGAAACAAGTTCATTTGCTTCATTTACTAGAGCAACTTGGTGAAGGTATTAGTTCAAGTGATACAGAGTGCTCTACTGATAGTGAAAAACCCTCAGACAAAAAGAAAAAACTATCGGATTTAAATCTGTGCACTTCTAGAGAACAAATTAAAAGTTCTAATAAGCAAGATATGTGTTTAATTAATGATAATGTGAATACTAAAGAACCTTTGGTTATAACATCCAAACAGAAAGATGGTCTCAAACATGAAAATAGTGATTCTTTGTTAAGAACAATTGATCCTGTCATATTGAAAAAATACTTAGATCCAAGAAAATCTGTAGAGCATCAAGATCTAGTGAAAACAAGACGCTACTCAACAGAAAAAGACATTTTATGTCATTCAGATTCAAATCAGTTAGATATTCATGCTGATCAAGACATTCAACCATTGGTTAGTTTATCAGATACAACTTGGAAAAAGCAGACGTTTCCAACAGTATGTGTAACAACTATTGAGGAAAATGAAAATGATACCAGAATTGATACTGCACTTATTTCACATCAAACAAAAATCAAAAATGATGATGATGTAGTAGTGACTGAAATTACATTATGTAATGATAGTTGTGGAAATACAAAAACAAACAGAATTCAAACATCAAATTTAGATACAAGACTGAGCGGAACTATTCAGCGATCTCTATCTGAATCAGTTTGTTCAAATCATGAATTGAGGAGAGAAAGAGAGATTAGCCCTCTCTCTTTACCATTACCAAAGTTTGCAGCATCTCTACGTTCTCCTAAGATGTCTCCAAATCCATTATCTTCTCCTAAAAGTAGTGCTGTGAGTCCTAGAGCTGGTCATTCACCTAATATTGTTTTACCTGGAAAAAGTAATTTCATACATGAAATTTGCAAAGCTGATAAAACAAATACCAAAGATAACCAAGAAGAAAAATTAGTTGCTACTGCAACTGCATCATCATTAACATCACAAACAACTGAAACCAAAACATTAACAGATTCTGTTTGTAATCCTAATACCATTCATTCATCTCAAGTATTTTTAAAACCACCAGAAACAGAAATTTCTTCAGATTCAGAATATTCTCCAATTTCATCACCAAACCGTCCATCTATTGAAGAAAGAATACGAGCTCTAGATGAAAAATTCAATGCTTGGTCAGGCTCCTCAAGAACTTTTAGTACATTATCTGGTGATACATCACCTACAGTAACAACTGTGACAGTATTTTCATCGTCATCATCATCAACAACAACAACAACAACAACAACTTCAACAACAACAAATACTTTTGATTATCATAAATATAATATTAAGAAAAAACCTCGCTTTAATTTTCTTTCACCTGAATTTCGCACAGAACCATCTGAAATAGTAAAGTCTCTGCTAGCAAAATCAACAATTTTTGATCAAGATTCAAAGCGATTAGAACGAATAAATGAAAAATATGAACCAAAAGAAGTAAAACTAGATTTTTCACCTAAAACAAAACCATTAATACGTACTAAAGCGGCAGCAAAAGATTTCTCAAGTCCTATTCAGTCTTTGACCAACACTATGTCTTCACTAACATCTACATGTAATATAAAATATCCCCAATTTACTCAGTCATCTATCAGTCATTCTAATGTTTCACCAGTTTTAGTTTCATATACAAGTAATTCTACAATGACAAATGTTTCATTATCTACTCAATGTACCATTCCTTTTGTTTCAACAACTGTTAGTGCTCCAATTACAACTAAAGTAACAGAAGAATTGACAGTTTCTCAACCTAAATTACCAATAAATCACGTTCCTTCATTAAGTAAATTATTAGAAACTATTAAACCACAATCAGTGTGGAAGGAAATTAGTAATATTTCAAATAACAACCAATCAAAAACTATGATATCTTCTTTACCTACTAATATTTTTAATTTGTATAATACAACAATAAAGAAGGAATTAATACCTGTTACAAAAGACAATATTTACATTCCTCTTGTAAAAAAAGAAACAAAAGAAGATAAAAGTATTTTAAGGAAAGATATTCCAATCATTTCAAATTCAAAAGTTGCAGAAACAAGGCGAGATGGAATATCAACAATAACAAAAGAGACAACCATTAAAAAAGAAACAAATAATAAAGAAATTTGTAACCGAAAAGAAAATATATTTTTGAAAGAATCCAACATCAAACAAGAACTTTTATCCTCAGTCATGCAAGATTTTCAGTCAAGTAATAAGAACAGTTCTGTTCCTAACATTTCAAAAGAAACAATACCTGCACAGAATAGTACAACAGATAACTTAATCACAACTCAACAAGCTGGAGTTACAAAAAGAAGAGTTTCTTCTATAGATAGTAATGAATCTGATTCAGGTAAATCTGGAAGATCTACAGAGATGACAAAAGAATCCCAAGATATTGGATGGCAGAAGGATGAAATAAAATCAGAAAATGTAACAGCAGAACCAGAGCATAAAAAACCAAAGTTAACTCATGCAAGAAATTCAGAAAAAGAAAAACAGAGAGAAAAATCAACATCTCCAGTTCCTTCAAAAAAATCAGAAAAATTATCTATGAAAATGGAGAGATCTAAAAGTTTAACATCCAGGCATTCTATTTCTTCGAGTATAGAAAGAGATGATTCAGAATCAAAATCTCTTGATATTAAATATAGTGAAAATATAAAGGATAAAATTAAATCTGAATCAAAACATAAAGAAGAAAGAAAAAATAAATGCAAAGAAAATAAATCTAACAGGCATGAGCATAGGACAAAATCAAAATGGCCAGAATCATCTAAATCTTCTGAGAAAACTGATAAATCTGTAAATGTTCTAAAATCAAAGAAAGATCATGAAAAGTATGATAAAGATAAAGGCAAATTAGAAAGGAAACTATCAGGAAATGATAAAGGAAAGTCAGAGTCTTCAAAAAACAATAAAAAATCGGATGCAAAACACAATATGATTGAAGAAGAACCCGTATACTTTTCTATGTATGATAAAGTCAAAGCACGTTCAAGTCAGAATCAGAGTTTGAAAGATCAAGCCAAAGATCTTGAAACAGTTAGACAAAAATTTAATCTACTGAAACAAAGTCGTGCCAAACGTGAAGAGAAAGCAAAATCAGTAGAATTAGATAGTGATAAAGATTCTGATATTAGTCATCATTCAAATGAATCAGAATCACAGGGATCTCACTTTCAAAAAGCATCCAGTTCAAAAAGCAGACAGCCAAGGAAAAGAAAATTAGTTATAGAGAGTTCTTCAGATGATGATATTCAGTCTCAGAACATCAGAACTGAAGGTTCAAGACAAGACTCCAAAGATACAAGTAATGAATTTACTTCAGATTTAGAAACAGACTATAAAGAATTAACATCTATGAAAAAGTTTAATATAGCTCATCATTCTAAACGTAAAGGCAAGAGAACAGGAATATCAGATAGTGGAAGTTCTGGATCTGAAGAAAAAAATACAAATAAGTCATTAACAGTAAACAAAAAGAAAACAAAATTGAGGCATTCTGTAGAAAAAATGCCAAAACGACACACTCACAAATCAGATTATGACAGTTCTGATGGGGAAATAATTTCAAAATCACAAAATAAAGAGAAAGAACACAAAAGGAAAAAAACTAAAAAGGAAAAAGTGTTTGAACTTATAAAATCTGATTCAGATGTCTCTGAAAGTGAAGTTCCTAGAAAACTGAAAGAAGAAGAAAAACTTTTAAAAGGAAAAAATTTAAAAGAATTTGAAGACGAGTCTTCATCAATTGCGGATGATAACGTTTCACGGAATGAAAACAAAGATTTGCCTACTATTCAAAATGAAAAAAATAAGCATGAATCTAAGCCAACTGAAATTATTGATAAAGAACAAAGACACAAATCAACATCTAAGAAAAAGAAAAAGTCTAAAAAGTCATCAAAAAGCAAAGAGAAAAAGACATCTGAGAAGTCAGCTGAGATTTCATCTGAAAAATCTTCCTATCAAAGAACTGAAAATTCAGAAGAAAGTAATAAAATCCAAGAAAAGATAGAAACAAAAGATGTATCTCTTATTTTACCAACACCAGAACCAAGAGAAAATCCCATATCACCTCCTTGTTTGCAGAGTGAAATTTTATCAGATAATGATTTTAAATCAGATTTTTCAGATTTTGATTTTGATAATCAGAAATCGCGAAACAGATTAAATTCTGACTTATGGAAGCATATAGAAACAAAAACGGATTCTGATACCGACATTTGTTTAGGAAATTTAATTTCTTCTTCCAAATGTGTCACAGAAAATTTCTCTTCTAAAGATCAATTTGATATTCCTCAGTCTACAACAGATTCTAGTTTGCCATCCTATACAGATAAAGTAGGAGAATGTGAATCTAGTGAAAAATCTATCATTCCTCAGACAGATTATAATAATCAACTTAATGACAACTCTGACATTCCTTTTAATTCTCTACCAAAAGAATCAAAAGATAATTCAGTTAAAAAAGAAGAATTAGAAAAGCGAGAAAGTGATATGGAACCATCAAAAAAGAAAGAGAAAAGTTTTAATGAAGTTGATAAAAATAAAGAAGAAAGAAAAAAGAAGAAAAGAAAGAAGACATTGAAAGAAAAATCTAGAAAATCAAAAACTGATTATGTAGAAACAGTTGAAGTTATGACATTTCAACAAAAAATTAAACCTCCAACACCAGTATTTGAAAAAATTATTGATGAAGATAGCAGATTATCAAATGAAAGATTAGATGAAGAAATAGCAGAAGAAGCTCGACGTTTAGAAGAAGAATTACTAGCTCAATCAGAAGAAACAAGTACTTTTGGAGAAAGTGAAGATCCCTGCAAAAAAGAAGAAAAGCTTCAAGAAAGAAGGTTTGAAAATACCTGTAAAAAGGAAGAGAAACAAGAAAGACGATTTGATGAAGAAGCAGTGAAAGAAACTAGAAGATTAGAAGAGGAATTGCAAACAGCTAGAGACCCTTGGAATTTAAAAGATCCAAAACCTTATGATGATGATACCAGTCATGAGTTACAGATTATGACTGATAACATAAACAAAGAAAATGAAGTTGAAGTCAATACCCTTAATGGAAAAGATGATATTTTTGTTGGTATTGAACTTGGGTCAAATTCAGAAATAGGGACAACACATTCAGCTACTCAGGAGTTCTTGTTATCACCAAATGATACTGATCAATATAAATTAGAGGATAAAGAAGGAGTTTATGACATGGATAATCAGAGAAAATTAGAAGATGATCTGGCAGTATCGGCATTGCTTCAAGAAATGAATAATGAAGAAGTTTCAGCTCCAGAATTATCTAAAGAAACTGAATATCTAGAACCACTTTTAGAATCACAGGAAAATTCTCTGAATTATATGATACCTGATGAAAATACTGGATCTTTACAAATAACAGAATCATGTCCAGAAATGCACATTGAAGATAATATGACACAACAAAAATGTGAAACTGAATCAGAATTTATTTCTCAAGGAACAGAAGCATCAGAACTCATTACTGTAACTGAGGAAATGCAAAGTAAAGAAATATCAATTAAGGAAGAAGAAGTTTTAGTTGAATGTAAACTTCCTGAAAGTAATGAGGATTCAATATCTATTTCTAATTCTGAAGAAATTTCAAAACAACAGGATCTAATAACAGAAATAAAACTGGCCGAAACAGAATCAGAACAAATTGAAATTACACAAAATGATTTTGAATTATTAGAAGCACCCAATTCATCAATAAAATTTGAAACTGATAAAAATAAAAATGTACAAGAAGAAAAGAAGGAGGTGCTTCATCAAAACAATAATGAAGAAAAAATCTGTGAAGTTAATAATGAAAAAATTACTTTTGATGGAACAGCAGTCAATTCTACTATTGATGATAATCATGAGAAAGAAGAACCACCTCCAACATTGGAAAGAGTTGATAATGTTGAAGATAAAACACATCTTCCCGATCTTGCCATAACCATCTCAAAGTGTGATAGTGATAAAGATCCATCACTAGAAGACTATATCAATGAAAATACTAATCTGCATGAGAATGAAGAACAGAATACTTTTATGACAGATATGGTAACTGATTTAGAAGACACTAGGACAGCATCTCCACCTTCATATCCTCCTTTAGAAGATGAAATAAATTCTGTAAAGGAAGAAGTTGAGAAAATGAAGAACATATTTAATGAAGAATTGGTTCAAACAACAGATATTGAAGATTCATTTGTCAGTATTGAGAAAGATACAAATACAAACATTACTATTATTGAAAATAAGAAAGAAGAAAAAGATTTAAATGAGACTGTCAATGAAAAATTAACATTACCAAGTGAACCAACTTTAGATACAGAAGAAGAATCCATTGAGTTAAAGAAGGACAACAAAATATGTTTGGATGAACAAATCAAAGTAGAATTGACTGATATTAATACTGACAGAGATGTTGTTAATCTGTTTGAAGAACAACCATTAACAATAGTTACTGAAAATGAAGAAAAAAAATTATTGGAGAAACCAAAACGAGGACGAAGACCAAAAACAAGAAAGTTTTCTGAATCGTCATTGTCACTACCTAGATATGAAATGTCAGCAGTAGATATTTCTACATCATCAAAGAGTAGTGGGAAACGAGGTCGACCACCTTCAGCAGAAAGATCCAGAAGATGCTTACGATCTGAAGGCTGTGAAAATTTAACTGCAGATCCACTTCCTTTATCCCAGCCTCCTCCTACCATACCATCACTCCCACCTCCACCACCATTACCACCACCTCCACCACTTCCTCCTCCATCACCATTAGCAACTGTACAAATGGATGATGTTTCAGTTAAAGAAGAAAACTTTGTTACACCTATAATACATGAAAATACCAACCTGAATTCAAATAATGAAAATATGTCAAGTGTTTGTACAGATGAAGTAACAGAATCTTCAGAAATGTCCATTCTAAGTACAAATAATTTAGAATTGAAGGAAATGATGCAATCATCTAATGAAAATGTATCTTGCATCAAAAACAATGAACAAATTACTGAACAGATTAAAGGAGAACAAAGGAAGAGAGGAAGGAGAAAAAAGAAAACATTAGACCATCATTCAAGTTATTTTTCTCTCTCAAATGAAAAAATTGATCCCAAACATGATGAGAATGATCAGAAGGATCATCATAAGCCTAAAGAATCAAGATTGTGGCTCTCTATTTCTTCTGATAAAACTGTTTCCACTGAACATAAGTTAAATTCAAAAGAATCATCTAGTGCTTATGATGTATTTGAATTTAGAGATTCAGAAGATGAAGAAATTACATTTGAAAGAGATCTTCAATGTAGCATAAAAGAAAGATTAGATTTAACCAGAACATCATATGGGCATGATCATAGACATGGTCATATAGAAACAAAAATTCCTGAAATAACTCATGAAAGGGAAAAGAAACATGATGAATCACGACATAAATCTCATCATCATGATGAAAGAGACACCACTGGAAAAGAATATGTAACAGAACTTAGTCAGCATGGGAAAATATCTATCACAATTCGCTTGCATCAGAAAGAAGGTCATGATGGTAGTTCAACTGGTACTGCAGAAGTTGTCAAAACATCAGAAGCTGTCTGTGGAGAAGATCATAAAAGTGATATAATGCGTTCTGACAAAAATAATAACAAAGAAACAATAGGTGCCGAAACTCGTTCTGCAACACAAGGTAGGCTAACAAGAAAATCTACCAGACTTCAATGTCAAAATGCTCGAACAACTGTTGATGAAGTAATTGAAGATGTAGTAAAGGGTCATTTTAGATCTCCCACTCAAAGTGATATGCCTGTTAGAGTGACTAGAAGAACTAGAATAAGCAGACGCAGTGAAGACAATACAAATCAATCAATGGATGATATAACTGCCAATGATAGTTTGGCATCTGAGAAAGCAAAGAACGAACCTGTTTTTGTTATCTTAGATAATGCAGTCAAAGAATATTCTACTGAAGTTAAAAAGTGCCTAATTACACCACAAGAAATTATTTCAAATAAATCTACTTTAACTGCAGAAAATGAGTCAAGTAAATCTGAAACTAAAGTCTCATTGAGATCCTATAGAATTACTAGATCATCAACTAGAATGGAAGCAAATAAAGATAACATATCTCCTAAAAATTCTTCAGATAATACAAGAGAGACTAATACTACTGACTTACATATTGATTTGTCACAAAAGAATGATATTCATCTTTCAGAATCAAAAGAATCCTCTAATAATAATATATTTCAAACAAAAGATACAGTTGGAAATGAAGGATTTTCAGCTAGGACACCATTACCTGTCTTGAAAGTAGAATTACCAAAAGTAACCACTGCATTAACTTCAATTGAAATGAAAACAGGTGAAAATGAAGATAGTGATTCCAGAGCAAGTCCTACAGTATTGATTGATCCAGTGACAGGATATCTAACACCTGTAAATAAAATTATTGATTCTATGGAAGGAAGTGAGGGACATTCATATTTGAAATCTTCCAGAACATCACATTTAGAAAAATTACCAGCCAGTACTGTTATCACAAGCAAAGGAGATCTTCCTTCTATTAATTCTTCAGAAAACAGTGCAATAAGCCATAATTCCAGTTTATTAAGTTTGCCAACTCAAACTCCAATTAAAAAATCTTCACCTGAAGTTACTAGTCATTCTCAGATGCCAAATTCAAGCATTGGACCAGTTTCTCTATCTACACCAGCATTGTGTAGTTCAAGCACAGGACAAATAACTTCCACCATACACCATATCTCAGACACAAAATCTACAGCATCTGTATCAGAGGAAAAAGCATCACCAGTTTCAATGGAGGAAAAGTTTGAAAAACCAATTACAGTTTTAAGTACACCTATTGTTCATGCAACTTTGAGTGTTACAACTAATACAGAGAGCAAACCTTCTGATTCAATTCCTTTGTTAAATGGAAAGCAGTTGCCACCTGTTGGACAACCCCAAGTGTCAGTTTCACAGGTTCCTGGTTGGCCAGTGACTACTATTGGAGGCTCATCATATATAACGTACGGTTCAGTTCCTGCGCAACCAATAACCACAAGTCAAACTACAAAAAATCCAAGAAGCAGTGGATATTCACAATCATCTTCAAAAACACTTGTTTCATTGACTTCTACATCATCAACTGAAACAAGCATTGCCAAAGTTGTCACTCCATTAAAAATTTCAACATCTAGCATAACAGGAAGCATTCCAACTGAAGCAAAAACTGAAGTAAGTTTGAAAAAATATCAATTTATGTATAGTGAAAAATATAGAATAAATATTCGTTCTCATATAATTTCATTTTAAATAATTTTATGTGATTTATGATTTATTCTTCATCCTGTTTTGTACATACATTCCATATTCTTATGGAATGTGTGTGTAAAAATGATTGAAGAATATTTCTTACCATGATTCTATTCATTTTTCATATCTATTCTTTTATTAGTCATTAAATTTATTTTTGAAAATTGATGAAAAGCTTATCTGTATGTTTGAATATTTAAACTACTATTTACAGTATATCAGAGCTGATAGCATACCACAATATTTTACTTGCAGTAACCTATATATAGCTGTTACAGTCAGACATTTTGGATTTGCTGGTTAAAAAGACTGTGCTAATGAAACATGATTTTAAATGCTTAAGATTTATTATGCTAATTAATTTAAATAAAAATTTCACTTACTTTAAATGTAAAACACACACAATAGTATTTAAATGTATTTCATAACAGTCTTTAGGTCTTAAACATGATAATCCTGAAAATGGTCTCTATTTTGTTTTATTTATCTACATACTTCAAGTGTAGAGCATATGTTAGTTACCCTTTACTCAGCACAATAAGTCTATGGGGATTCTAGCAACATCATAAATTGCTGCTAAAGTTATTATATCATGTATAATAATGTCTTTTAAGATCATCAGTCCTTATATTTTTGATAATGGGAATTCTCTCACAGCAGAGCATTCTATCTGAATGATTGAGAATGATCTGAATGATCATGACACCTGAAATCAAACCAGATACTTTGTTTCAGCAGAATAGAGTGATCAGTCATATAGCAAAGCAATCAATGAATGTAGTCAAACATTTTTTCCAAATCATATCATCTCCAGTTATTGAGATATTTAATGGCCCACAAGATCACCCAATCTGAGGACTTGACCTGTTCGGATATCATAACATATAATATCCAAATAGTCAGTCTGGTGGACTGCACCCAAATCCCAATGCATATCTGACAGAAAAATTAGTAATAAAATGTTTCTGAAACAGTAACCATCTTAGTTTTCATATGATTAATTCCAAACAGCAATTGCACAATTAGTGAATAAAGCTATGTTATTATTGAAAAGAAAAGAAAACTGCATTAAGAAAAGATTTTGAAATACTTTCTCATATTAAATACTGCAGTTTCTCAATTAAACCTCATTTAAATCTTTTCTTAATATAGTGAAAGCTTTTCAATAATAACATAGCTTTATTTGAATTTTATTTGAAGACCTGGGAATTTTTTGAGGTCATAATTTATTACTTTTCAACAGGAGATGAGTAGGTAAAAATTAAAGTACCTTAATTATTCATATATTTTCCAAACTATCAAAACCATTTTTTGACTGAATTTATGAATTAAATCTACAACATTTAATCCGATTCAACATCATCTAATTTGGTTTTATGTTGTTATTTATGTTTGCTCTGATGTCATTGTAGGAATTAAGATTTTGAATACCATCTTCTGGTTCAAATCTTTAGGAAAGAGCTGATGAGTTTGAACCAGATGTTTCCTAATTACCCTTCAGTTGATATGCTCTCAACTTATAAACTCAATTGTGCAACTTTCCCATGCTTAATATTTGGCAATATTTATTATTTTATTTCAAAAATTGTTTCCTTGAACCTTGGAAAACAATGTGCTGTCCAACTCTATACAATCTGAAGAGGTAGAATTTTAGTTAAACTTCTTACCTGTCATTTTAAACTACATTACTCTAAACAGTGCAGTTCTTTAACATGTTTTCTATGCTTTTCAACCTAGATTTATTTGAGACTGGAGTTTAATTGAGGAAATACAGTATACACTATGCCAAACTAACCAGAACCTTGGCTTTGACTATGCTGTAGTTTTTCATGCACCATTTTCTGTTCAGATCACATTACTTAGTTTACTTAGAAAATTTATTAATAATGTTTTATCATTAATAATTATGAAAATATTCAGTAGATTGTAGGAAATTTATATTACTTTGCTTTTAATTAAATCATTACAAAAATTAAATTATCATGACAATTAAGTATAATTTTGTATTTCTAATGACTTTACTTTGTAAGTTGATTAGCCTGAGTTGAACTCTGAAAATCATAGGTGTAGATACTAAACCTTTTTTGAATGTAGATAGTTTGGACAGATAAGGCTTGCCTAACTAAAGATAGAATGTGATTACCGTAATACATTTTCTACTTACTACATAGCTCTTTCTCTGTCCATGTTTTGTCCCAGTATATGAGTTTAAGGTGATTATCATTAAGGATGATGTCAAATCTTATTAATTAATGATAATCAATAATGCATGTTGTTCTTTTTAATTATTAGCTTATCTTTTCATAAATTCAAACTATTTCTCTTTCATAAGAATTGTACTATTCTCACCTTTTATCTTAAAACAATAAACTCAATGCAACATTAAATCTGTTTTACTCATAATCTCTCTACACTTTATGAATTTCTTCCCTTAAAGTTGATAAAAGTTATCAACTTTAAGGAAATGTCTTTTATCAACTAAGAAAGAAAAAAATGCTGTAGCCTACATTACCACAAATCACTTCAGATAAAAGAACAGAATGACAATAGATTGAGAGTAACATGATCAAACAAATCCAATCAATGTTAGATATTGGGTCTTCTTCAACCACCATAAGCAAAATCCCAAAACTAGCTATACAAAATGTGAAATGACAAATTTATGGTATGCATTGGACATTGGCTTCTCTGTTTAGCTAGCATTGAAGTGCCCAGCCAAGTCAGAAATATGCAATTTTAGGGCTTATTCTTAGGTGTTATACACAGGGTGAATCAGAAGAGAGGAAAATCAGTTGGGAGACAATAGTATGAATCATTGTAAATGAAAAATTTTATATGAACATGGTTATTATTGTTAACATTAGCCAAGAGTTGACAAAGGTACGGTTTTCTTCTTCATCTTACCTATTGTTCCTCTTTCCTTGAGTTTATAAATGTTACCTACAAACAGGAGAGGAAATGCCTCTTGGCAGCCCTATGTTAAGGCTGCTATATGAGATGGTGTTAAGACTTTGGAGAATACAATATTTCTGGTATACAAGGAACAGATAGGCTATATGTTAGGTATTTGGATTACATACCAATACTTTGTATGAGAAAATATGATATTATTCTCAGTAGTTTTGGAGATACAGTTGTTTGAAAGTTGCTCACATACATCTAATAATAATGATTGGTACAGGTGTTATATTCACAACAAATGCTCAAAAATTAAATTGTGCACTTCAGTACACTTTACAAATTGTGTCGTAGATGATGTGTCATTTCTCTGAGTTACTTGGCAAAGACTGTGTATCAACTGACAAAATTTGAGTTACATCATAGCATTTTCATATTGGAGATGCTGATAGCAATAGGGATGTAAGCAAAAGCAATGTAAAGTTCAATTGACTCTTGTTTGTGGAACATTGAGGCACATACTAAATTTTTGAGCATTTGTTGTGAATATAACACATGTATTGATATAAACACAATATCTGAAAAACTTCAGAAACAGATAATGAAAAGGAAACCACCTTTCTTAATTGTAGCAACTTAATTTTGCGACAAAATAGTTTTGATCTAGAGTGATACATTTTCATCATTTGCTACAAGAATAGAATGAATCTAAGAATAGAATAGATCTAAGAGTTAGAATACATTTACAAAAGTTAAGATTTGACTGCATTGGCACCATGAAGAGGGATTTCCATACCAGAGTTAAGGAACATAGAGTTAGCAAAGGCCTAGATAACACCAAAATCATAAGTTAAGGCTAGTGAGGAACAGTTATAAGTTAAAACACTTAGAGATCTTGGAAATTTACAGGGCCAACTTAGAACACAATGCATTAATTTCCAGGATGATGATATCCACTGCCTGGAAATTGCTATATGAACTGTAACATGATGACTAGCATGCATCATAATTTTATGTTGTTTTTTAAATTTTATCTAATGTATATAGTTTTATTTTATCTTATTGTAACCCCAATAATGATTTTACATTGAATTTGGTCTTGTGTAAATGCATTTTAAATAAAACATGTTCACTTTAGTCAAATCTTAAATTTTGTAATTGTATTCTCATTCTAATTGTTAGATCATTCTATTTTTGTATCAACTGACAAAGATCTATTAATCTAAATTAAAAATGCTTTTGTCATTAAATGATTTACTGAAATTACCTTTTTATAACACACATCGTTATCATTATATGTATTTGAACAACTTTCAAACAGCTGTATCTTCAGAACTTCTGAGAATAATACTCATGTTCATGTTTTTGTTTACAGTGACCCATATCATTTCCCAACAGACTTTCCTCCTGACTATAATCACCTAGGTTAACTCATTGTGCTGATTGGAAACCAATGGATAGACAATGTCTATTGCTGACATGAGTTGATTCATATAGTGTTCCAAATATTTATGTAATTTTAAACTTTATAATGGAAAATTAGAAATACCAATTAGTAATGTACCTGTTTGGTATGCAGTAGGTTTGAATCTCAGTCTGGGTAATATTTGCTACTATACATTCTAATTAAACTTTAATATTAAATTTGGTTTGAGATGGTTTCATTACCTCCCTCTAGAGTCAAATTATGTCAGTAATTAAAATAAAATAGTGAAATTATATCTTGATAAATCCAATGATACAAAAAAAAACACATAAGCCAAATATTTATATGTGCAAGGGGACAGAGAAACAGGAGATTATAAAAGCTCAATAACTCAGTGAAATGCTTTAAGAAACCACAAATATATCAGCTTAAATTGCTTTTTTTATTATCTTTATTTTTTGAAAATAGTTTGTATCTGAGCAGACATTCCTATATTCTTGAGCTTATATCAGCCATCACACACTGCAACATTTCCAAGATTTGGCAATATTGTTGGATGGTTAGTATACATCTTGCTCTTCAAATAGACCCACAAAAAATCACATGATGACAAATTAGGTGATCTTGTGAGCCAAGAAAAATCATCATTCTTGAAGATGACATGACTGAGAATTAACTGTCTTATAGCAGTCATGGATATTCTGGCTGTGAGAGCAGTGATGCAGTCTTGTTGGAACCATGTCTGACCATTAACAAGAGGAAATCTGGTTAATTTTTGTTGACAAGAATTAACCAGACTTCAAAAAGTCTTGATCATATGGGCATAGCAGTGGGCTGATGGAACAATTGTTGTATTTTCATTGCCATCTTCAAAAAATTGAGGCCCAACAATCTGAAAAAATGATACTGCACACCATATTGTAACCTTGGCACTGTGCAAAGGCTTCAAATGCAGTTCATAGTGATTTTCTGGTGCAAATTTTGCTTATTCACTAAACCCAACAAATGAGAATGTGCTTTGCCACTGGCAAACAGATTGTGAATAAGATCTTCATCTTACTTCAAAAGATTCAAGAATTGATGGCAAAAATTTGTTTGGCTAACATGACTGCCATCATTCAGTGCATGCACCATATTTTGAATGGGTGAAAATATAAATCTTTATGCAAAATATATCATACACTCCTGTTCAAAATGTTTAATGAAACTTTAAGGTTGCCTGCAGAGAGCTATGGACTATGTTCAATGGCGGCCATCACATTCGCAATACTTTATTGGGTAAGTTCAGTTCTTTTTGCACCTGGAGACCTCTTTTTTAGTGTAAACCAATTTCCTCAAAGTTCTTAATCAATGTCATGATGGCAAGTCTGGATGGTACTGGATTATTTCAATTAATGTTGAAAATAATCAGTGATCATGATACAATTATTATTTTTATAACATGCATTAATGGCAAATGTGCATGGCACACTTGTCTACTGGTTCATGATTAATAAATGCTATACACTTGACAACACAGCATTGGTGAGCAATCTAGCACCAAAATGCCTAGGAAAATTGACTTTGGAAATTTCCCATCTCTGCCCCATCCTGTATTTGATTATGATGAAAATTAAAAAGATTACTTATATAATAAACAAGAAACTTAAAGTAGTAATGTAAAATTTTATATAAATAGATATGAAAAAAGGAAAAGTTCAGATAATTTCATTGGCCAAAATTTTTTTTAATTAAAACATTGTATAATATTGAGTTGTTAGTTTATTTTATGTATTATGTTGTTATATGTAAAAATGAAACAGTAATGTTTAAATGAGAAAGTTTAGGAAATTTAAAGTTGATATTTTGTTTATTTTATTGTATAAACATTTCTATATAATAAAATAAATAAATATACTTAACTCTTAATTTATATTATAAAATTTATTCCTGATAAATATTATAATATGATTAATCATTGTTTCACTTTCACCAATATATTGTTTTTTAATGTAATTCTATGAATAATAAAAAACCACTCGCATATCAAAAATCCAGAAAAATTTTAATGAAAGCTAACATTTTTGACCATTGTAAGCAGTCACCACCAGTTAAATATTATAGAACAGAACAGTAATTTGAACACAACTTATATAATTTTCTCTTTTTGTATTAATTTTATCAAACTTCAAAATAAGACCTCCAAGTCTCTGATAAGGTGTCATTATCCTTAAAGTTTATGGCTTACTGTTCTGTTCTAGAATATTTAATAACCTGATGTGACTGCTTAAATTGGTTAAAAACATTAGTTTTCATTAAAATTTTGCTGGATTTTTGGTATTTGATTGGTTGTTTGTTTTGACATCCAGTTTTTGTTTTTATTACTTCTATAAAAGAATTTGGCAATATAACTAGACCTGCTATTAGAGGGGTCCAAATTAGAACATGCAAACATACATTTTCCTGTACCACTGTTAGATGAAGACTAAACTTTAGATATTTTATATATGTGTGTATAACTGCATTTGTCACAAACAAATCCTTTTACTGTGTTTATTTGATTTTTACTTCATTTATCAAAAGTAAGGTGGCTTGAGACCCTGCCCACTGGTTATATTATTAAAAGTATTGGGTTTTTAGTATATTCTAGAGAGTATGAAAGAAAGTATTTCTTTTATAAAATGTAAAGTTCTAGATTGGCATATTAGTTTTTATCTGTTTAGTATATGAATTATTATTAAAAATTTAGACAGTTCAAAAGCAATAGGAAGTACAAGATGTGATCAAAAAGTTCTTTAACTACTGAAATAAAATCACAAATAATGAATTAAAACATTTATTTTGGAGGGATAACATAAATTTTTGAAATGTAATACACTGCCTCAATCTTTTTTCAGTTCATAATATTCAGTTCAGTTCTTTTATATTTAATTTTTTTGTGTCAATCTCATATCATTTCGTGTCTGTTGTGCTTGTTCTTTAATTTCCTCTAAAGGATTGACATTTTCAATTGATAAAGTTAAGAAAAAAAATCAGGTAGATATAAATCTGAATAAGAGATTTTGAAATTGCCATACTGTTTTTGTTCAGAAACTGTTGAATAGCTAAAGCAGTATAAGGATAAATATTATTAAGGTTCAGCTGTCTGTTTTGTTTCATAAACACATAAAAAATTCTTTACAAAACTTTACTTGTTCTGTAGATAGGAATTGTGCATTTTGAATTTGTAATATGATAGATTTTTTTGTTGTTGTTAACATTGATTGACTCATGAGCTTTCTTTGGATTTCATTCTCTAATTCCCTTGGCCAATTTAATCTTTTCCTAAGTCGCATCTGTTACATCTATTCACCCAGTGTCTAGGAATTTGGTGAGTATTAACATGAACACATTGAGAAAATCACAAATTAAGGATTATACTTTTTTTTTTTTTGACAATGTATTTATGACTTGTAATTAGTTAAAAATGTAAGCAACCTTGGTCAAATAAATAAGTAATGAGAAAATAAACTATATTCATTTAAAAAGTTTTAAATTATTACTGACTACAATCAATTATTTAAAAAAAAGAGTCAGTTTATGAATGTATAGTTATTGCACATTTAATTCAGGAGTGTTAAGACTAATAATACTTATAAATAAATCTTAGAAAAATCAAAGTTTATATTTTCATTTTCTAAGTTAAATTGCATATAAATTCTAAAACTAATTATCACTTTTTATAGATCAAGTAAATAAAATTTTCCAAATACAAAATTGGTGACTGTTGTTTTTATGTTTTTAAGCTTTATATTAAGATATATTTTATTATACTGGTATCATTTAAATGTTTTTAAATAATTGTTTATTATAGACGACAAATTCTTCTGTAACTCAATCAGTTGTTCATTCGGATGGCACTTCCATTGCAACAAATGAAAGCATTAGTTCATCTAATAGAACATTGTTCCATCAATCAAGTCCTCTGCAAACCCATGCTCGAACTGATAATTCTGCGGGTTGGAATGTGTGTAAGACTCCACCATCAAGATCTTCAAATTCAGAAGTATCTAGACATGCACACTTATCAGTTCCTGCTTCATCACCACCAAGAACAACTTCAGCTATTGTATTGACAACTACTATTAAAACTGAACAGCATTCATCACCTCAGATATCAAATACAACAACTAAAACATCATATTCTTCTGCATCTAAACAAAGTCCAACATTCCTTCATAAACCTGGATTAGCTGTACCTTCTTATGAATCGTCATCATCTTCGGTTAGTATTTGTTTATCATTATTTAATAATTCCACTATTATTTTAAGAATTTCTAAATAAAATTTTTAATTTTTTAGCATCCATCACATAGTTTATCTGCAAATAACAATAGTGGTGGAGTTATTGCAGAATTACTTCAAAATCCTCATCTCCTACAGCAGCATAAAGATTATTTTGCTGCATCACAACATCCAGCATCAAGTAATGCTCAAATTGGAGATCGTTTGACCCATCTCGTCCGGTCAACAAACTCTACTTCAACTCTTCATGCAGACATAGCAGCAAGACTTGGAAATCCTACTCCACCTCATACACCAACTCCGCCTGTGACTTCAGCAACTCATCCTTTACAACCACCAGAAATACATCCTGCTCATGTTGCTGCAGGTTTGCATCTGCGTCAGCCTCCTCTTATTGTTCCTTCCCATGCTCCTCTTGGAATACATCCATCAGATCTCAATGCTTTTGTTCATCAGCAGATGATGTATGCTGCAGCACATCCTCATTATGCAGCTATGCATCCAGAATTGCGGGTACAACAAGAAGTGCAAGCTAGAGCAGCTGCCATGGGTATTGCACCAAGATTTCCATATCCTCATGTTCCACCTAATGCTGGATCATCTAGTGGATTCAGACAACCTCCTGAACCCCGTCAGCATACATCTGTATCAGATAGTAAATCTGATGCAAAACCTCTAATTGAATCATCTAAAACAATTCAAGAACATAGAATACATGAAGAGAAAGAGAAACCTCATCATTTGACAAAGGGCATCAGAATAAAGCAAGAAATAGATAGAGATGGAAAATCTTCCACAGAAATTAAAGGACATCCAGTTCTTAGAAATGAAGACCAAGAATTAGCTGGATTAGAAGGAAAACAGATCAACTTACCCACAGGTCCTTTAACAGTGGGTGGATTAAGACCACCACCAGTGCCATATCCTCCTTCCATACGGCAACTGAATCCTCATCTAGCTATTTCTGCACACGAGAGAATAACTGATTCTCCTGTTGTAGCTAATTTATATGCGCAAGGTCAACTTAGGACTACTCCCCTTCATCTTGTTGTACAGTCTGATGATCATAAGGCTGAAGTCCATCCTCATTCTCAATCAGTGAAATCTCCAATAGCAGAGAAAGAATCTAAACCTCCAGCAGCTCATCAAAATCCACCCACAACTGTTCCTTATCATGCTTTGGATACCTTAGGACATCATAACAGGCAGTCTTCAATGAGTATGCCTTCTGTCGGTTCTCCTGCTCCTGGTTATCTGGAAGGTCGTCCCATTGCTCATTTAGCTCATACTTCTGGAGCACTTGCATTAAAAACTTTAGCACCACCTCAACCTATATCTCAGTCTCATTCTACAGAAACACACAATAACCATGAAAGCCATAAAAAATCTTCAAGGACGCATTCTCATCAAGGACCATCTCCATCTCCTGGACCTTTGGGTCTGAATACAGCACATTCTCCACTTCCCATTCCGCCCAATTTCTCTTCACATACTCCTCATCCTACTGTTGTACCATCTCATACATTTCCACCTCCAAATACAGAATCAATTCATAGAAGAAATAGCCTTCATCTCATACCTCAGATGGGTTCAGAAGCACCTATACATGCTCCTCCACCTGCACATGCTATGTCTCAACCTTCTGGTGTGCCAAGAACACAACCACAAACTCCACCTCACGCTAGTCAGGTTCCACCTCAAGGAGATTCATTTTTACTTCAGGTAACAAAATTTTCTTTTATATAAAAACACATTATGTATTTTAATAAATTCTTGTTAAAACACAAAGATTAAGAATTTTAATATTAAAATTTGTTTTTTAGCGATATCCTGTTATGTGGCAAGGACTGCTGGCTCTAAAAAATGACCAAGCTGCTGTACAAATGCATTTTGTTTCTGGAAATCCCAGAATTGCCAGAGCATCACTTCCACTCATGACCGAAGGTGGAACTCCTCCAGTCAGAATTGCCCAGAGAATGAGACTTGAACAAACTCAGTTAGAGGGTGTGGCACGGAAAATGCAGGCAAGTTCTTTTATTTTTATAGTGACCAAAAAATAATTTTGAATTTGTTTTGCAAAACTTAATTTAAAAAATTATTTTTAGATGTTAGATGAACACTGCATTTTGTTAGCCCTTCCTTGTGGAAGAGATCACATGGATGTACTCCAACAATCCAACAATCTCCGAAATGGTTTTATTAATTATCTTCAACTAAAACAAGCTGCAGGGATTGTCAATGCAGCTGCTCCTGGTTCTCAGCAGGTACAATTATTTCTCTTATTTGTTCTGAAATTTCTATAATTCTGAGTTAAAGAATTGCCATAATTCCCTGCATACTACCCATAGAAAATTGCTAAAACCAAAATAAAAATGTTTTATAATCTGCACTGCTATATGCTCTTCATCTTGGAAGTTGCTATTGAAAGCATAACCTTTTAAATTGCACACAATTTAAATGACAAGTCTCAGGTATTCTATTTTTTCTCTTTCTCTTATTTTATTTCCACTTTCAATTGTAAAGTAAGAAAGACAGAAAAAATGGAATTTTTGAGACAACTATTTAATTGCATTAAGTATCAAAAATATTAATTATGGCTATACAATCAAAAGCGAGTTTCCTTTTATACTAAAGATCTGACAAACTTTAATCATCAAGTCATCCATTAGGATGCTGAAAATCTTTTGCCCACTAAGAAGACAAAGTTATGCCAAAATTTATTTTATTACTAACTTGAGTTATTAAATAGCAACTTCTGCCAACATCAAAGCATATCTTTATTTCATCCCTGTTGATAAACTCTTCACGCTAAGTTTTAAAATGTTAGTTAATAACAAGTAATATCAAAATTAATTTTAAATATAAATATACTTTATGTCCAAAAAAATATAAGTAGCAATAAAATATATTTAAATTATAGACTGACAAACAAATACTATTTTCTGTTTTATTACAAATGGAACATTAATTATAAATTTAAATTGTAACTATAAGCTGATGTTGGCCAAGAAAGGAAGTATTCTTTACTTGCTAATAAAATTTTTCTTGGAAGACAAAGTTTATTTTAAATAATTGATATTATGGTGCCAGGATTACTGAAATTTAAAGATATTTAATAATAATTTAAATATGTATACAAATGTTAATTGAACTAATATAAAGCAGATTTATACACTGTAGAGTTAATCAATCAGGAATGTTGTTGTCAAAACTTTTTATTGCTATCATCTAGCAAGTTTCATTTCTTAATCATTAGAGATGACCAATCTTTCAAAATCAGACTATAATTATATAATAATAAATGCTAAAATAACCTCAAACAAATTAAATAGAAAAACATTTTTAATGTGGACATCTAATATAGTTGATGCAGAGTTATCTGGGATGGCAATGTGACTTTATCATTCTTATGAAAAGCTATCATCGTTGATTTTACTAAGAAAGTTTCATAAAGTCTCTATAATAGTCAATGTTACAAGTTGGGATGTAAGTCACTTTTATTAGTTCTCTACATAACATTTACAGCTTCCAAACAGATCTCTGAGACAGTTTTCTCTTTCTGTATAATATATCTTGAAAGCTGATTGATTTCTACTAAAGTTTAGATATAAGTGTCTAATGATACAATTATAACAAGAATTGAACTGTAGAAAATGAAAAACATTTAAAGTTGGGGAATATGTATATATGTCTTTGGTTTCCTGAAAATATTGTGATGGGCATTAATATGAAAGCATTTTCATCATTTTTAAAAATGCTCTTAGCTTACTATTAAATGATCTTGCAATTGCAATTTAAAATCAATAGATAACTTGCGGCGGCACAGCTGTCACTCCATCAAAATTACTTTAAAACACAGATAACCCGTGGGTTATTTGCAGGAAATTATAGTAATAAGATCATTTTATTCATTTTGACATTATCTTTTCAAACCATGTTTTTCACTTATTTTTTTTTTATTTTACAGCCTGCTTATGTGATTCATATATTTCCATCGTGTGAATTCTCAAATGAAAATATGGCCCGAATAGCTCCAGATTTACTACACAGTGTGAGTGATATTGCACATTTATTAATAATAATTGCCACCGTATGACATCCCTCTCCTGAAAATTCTTGGTGGCAAAGTTATAGACAAGAAAAACCAAGTTGGTTAAATCTGTTAGCTGTATGCCAGTAATTGAGCCCGACCCGCAGGCTTCACCGCACAAAAGTAGGGTCAGACCATCTCATAAGTTGACATAACGTTATCTTTCCGTCTAATGTCTGAATACTAAAAATACAAAAAATTTCCAATTTTTGCCCAGCAAAATTATAATATAAAAAAACAAAACAATGTAGATCCGAGGAAAGAACACTTTTAAAGTGCACAGAAAGATGGAAGGTAACAACGTAAACAAAATGTAGTGTCTTTCAAATATCAGGAGTGTAACAGAAGATGTTAATTATAACTTTGCTTCCAAGACTGTTGCAACATGCATCGAAGCTGGAAGCATCTTATCGACATTCTATAGTCATTGTATCTTGTGTATATGTGTGTTTTGTGTTGTGCAGCCACTTCACTGCCATAGAACAAAAATAACAGTTGTGACAGCATGTTATTCCCCATCTGTATATTCAAACTATGTGTAATGGTGGGATGTTATTTCAGACCACTAAAAAATAAGCGGCTTATGAACTGGCAGGTTTGGCCCCGTACAAATCGCTGACCATTAACATCCATGGTGCCGATCCGTAGCCCATAACTTTGCAGATATTTCAGACGTCGTGTTCGACAAGTGCGTGTGCATGTGTATGATCGAGAAGTGTTTAATTAATAATTACAGAAAAAGTATAGAAGCAGCATGTGGTAATGGATGTAGTTTGTCACTGTACATATTTTGGTTTTTGCCTGATTGTCTTGTTGTTATTTTGTTTCATTAAATCAGAACAATTGTATAAAATATATGGCAATTCCTTCTGAAATCAGGAGGATGCACCATCGGTAGGTGTAAGATATATTAGCACATCAGTGTTTTGTGTATGACCAGAGCTTTGTGTATCTACAAAAAAAATTAGTGAAGTTGTGGCCCGGCCCTCAGTATGCTATAAAAACATAGCACAATTTAGATATAATTGCATTTAGAAAAATGGAAAAATGGCTGTTATGTCGTCTGTGTGAAATACAAGCTTAAAATGTTTCAACCATTGATGAAAACTCATCCATTGGTGAAATTGTAAGAAAAAAAATAACAAAAAATGTGATGTCACCTTTTAAACATGAGATAGTAGTCTTCATCTTAGAAATTTTCAAAATGTGAATTGAATTAATCCTAACTGGAAAAAGTAATTTGCAATTATATTGCAAATCGGACAGATGTGTGTTCGAAGGGTTGAAAAACCTCAACCCATAATATGAGCTGTATTTATATCCGTGTCTATTACAAAAACCCCAGTATTCTATCCTCGGTTCCTGTTTTAAATGCACTCATAGGTTTTATTCAGTTTTTTGTTATTTTTGGCATTATGCTGTACAAAAAATCTTAGTCATACAAGATACATTGTAAAATCCCATTAATTTTTTGTCATTACAAAGACCATCATACAAACATGGTGCGCGTCACCTCATTTTTATTTTTATTTTTCACATTGATTTAATTCACTTAAATCAGTCAAATGAGTGTATATTTTGTAAATATATGTATGGTTCTAGTGATTGTACATTTTCTGAAAACAAAAAACAAAAAAAAATGTTCTTCTGTAGAATGTTAGTATAAATCTGATGCCCAGGACAAAGTAACTCAGTGTACATTCATTAGTGAAATTCTCTGTATGAAACTAAAATGCTGCTCTTTGCCGGCATTCTTTGCATGCACCCGGGCAACCATATGTATCTTACGTGCAGGCACAAGATTGCAGGAAAACAAAGCTGTTTTAATCGATGACCCTTATGTTTGGTTTTCTTCTGTCTGTATATGCACACCTCACAGCTGAAAAAATCATCCACTGGTTCTCTGTAATTTACATGTTTTTCATTGACTGTTTCTCCATATTTGCTCAAAGCCATTGTTGCAAAGAGTAACAACAGATATTTTCACTTCTTTCATTGTGATTTTCACCAAGTTCAGCTGCTCTATTTTTGATGTGAAAATTTCAAGTGTCTATATTTTGTGTGTTTAACAGCCCAGTAATTGTACATATTCTAAATAGGGCTGGTCTGGAATTAAGATCGTTTATGTTTCCTCTGCTGACACACTCAAGAGCAGTGAGTTAAGTTATTGGTAAGCAAATAAAATGTTATCACGTAATCATGGTGTTGTCTGTGTTTTATTAAGACGATTTTATTTGAAGATTTTTTATTCATCTAAACATTATACATTGTGGCAAATCACAGTAGAAAACCCATATTTGCAACAAAGCATAGAGAAACTCTAAATCATTTGTCTTAAATTCTAATGTTGTTGACAGTGTCTACTAGCATGGTCTAGTGTTCTCTGTTTCTCACGTGCAACCACCATTTTATATTTGTATGTACTGTGATTATCAGTATTGTATTATATTTTACAAGAGAATTTTAGCTTGTCATCTAAACAAAATGGCTAAAGAAAGTGATGCACCTCGAAGACAAAATAAAAAGTGCTAGATCGTTTGCAAGGAGGAAATTCAATAGTTATGTTAGATTCACGTACAACTAAAGTAGAAGCAACCATATAAGGAAAGAGGGAGAGATTAGAAATACAATTAATAAAATTTCTTTGTAGACTATTAAAGTATTCTTCTATTTTCTAACCATACATTTCTCCTTTCTATATTTGCAGTGGTTTGCAGAATGTAACTTGCAAATATGGAGCTTCTATTGTATTCTATAAACTTTATTCTAAGTGCTGTAATGTGGAATTTGGAGGACTGCTAGAAGCTACTTTTGGTGAGACGGGAGTGTGTCTACTACTATCCCGTCTTATCTTAAAATTTTGAGTAGTAACTACAACTAGTTCTCCCGGTTCGGGCGTTCTGGGTATCTTTGGACGCGAACTGAAGGCAAGAGTGTACTCTTTTGAGCTACAAAAACAAATTTATATTCATTAATACCTATTATTGAGAAAGACTTTTTTTAATGATTGTTTGTTTACTAACTTTAGGCCTTTTATATGGACGGGTGATGAATGTGAAGCTGCAGTGGCTTCTACTAACGTTTTCGAATGCTCTCCTATTATCTTCCTCACCATTTCAGTGGCTTCTGGATCTAACTCTAAACAAAAAATAACAATTTTTAGAAAGTTTATTTTCATGTTAATGAATTTAAATTATTATAGAAAAAATGGAGATACATAACAAAAATATCAGATATTTAAAACCTAATAATGATTTCCTCCATACAATACCCAGTAAAAAACTATTAATAAAGAGAAACAATAATATTAGATAAAAATACAAAATCTTTAATAATAATTTTATTTGTATATAGAAGTCTCTTAGATTTTCAGTTTTAAGTGGCACTGTAAATGTAGAAAACATTCTACAATTTCTGAAATCAGGAGAAAAATTATTTAGTTGATATATTTAAACAGTATGTAAAGAAGCAAGGTACATTTCTACTATTAATGGGCAGTATTCTTTAAACACATGAGATGAGAAGCCATGAAGAATTTTGTAAGAATCTGATCAAAATACTGTGTGTGTTATGTAAATTTTTGATAGCTCTTTATTCACAGATACCCAAACAGGTAGTGCATAATCAATAATGGTTTGAATATTTGCAAAAACAAAAAATAGATTTAAGGTGTCATAATACTCCAGTCTATTTGTTCTATTAAAGTACTCCATTCTGGCTTAACTGTTTATAAAACAAGCAATATGAAATGTGAACATTAGTCAAGGATCAAATTCAATTTCATATAGATCAATGAAAAACTTGGTATTCCAAACAACTGAAATGTATGCTTAGTTTTATAGAAAGGTTAACATTTACAACAACAACACAACACTAAAAAATCATTCTGCAACTACTTATTTTAACATTGTCAGCATAAAAGAATTGGGAACTGTTAAAGATATGTACTATAAAGAAGAGAAAGCTTATTATAGATCCCTTTGGTGGCCAAGGTGGTTAAGCATTAGTCTACTGCCCTGGGAGAACTTTGTGATTTTTTCAACAGCCAAAATCTGATCCAACTTTTTGTAGACGGTCTGTCTCTCCATTGTGGGTGGCATCCTGCCAAACCCACAATGGACATGGAAAAAGGCCCTCTTAGTGCTTACAGGGCAGAAAGTTTTAAAATACGTAGCCTGATAATATCCGGCAGATCATTCGGCAATGTTAAGGCTACTTAATAATCAGAATCAAAGCAATTTGGCTAGAAGTAGACAGGCTGCCATCTAATAATTTGAAATAAATTAATCAAGAGATGGCAGCCTGTCTACCTCTAGCCAAATTGCTTTGATTCTGATTATTAAGTAGCCTTACTATAGCCCAATAAAATCCAGTAAGTTGCAATATATATATCTAAAATTGAGGAATTATTGAAAAATTCTTTAAACTAGTTATTCAATCAGAACAGAATAAAGTTATTAATATTAAAATCAAATTCATCAGAATAGAGGGAATTACAGTCTATAAAGGCTTATTGATGTCATCATAAATGACACATTGTAAGTTTATTTTCAAAATTAGCTGGGAATTTTTGTTGGGTTTTCAGCAGGTTATTGTGGATCAACAAAGAATTCCACAATGCTGTGCTGGATTAATTCTAAAAGTGATTGTATGGTAAATATATATGAAATTTATTTTTAATCAAGCAACCAGAAGACAATGGTTTAGGATGAACGGAAGACTGTTCTTTTATTAGGTAATACAAATCCTGGACCAACTGTTACAATACGAATGAATTTACTAAAACAGAATCAATCTCTGCTTCCGTTTTTCTTCATTTATCAATATTCCTTTTAACTTTTTAAAAATATGGATGATATTAAATCAGGACAATAAGTACTTAATAATTAAGGAAAAAGAAATTCTAGCAGCAGCGAATAGAGAGATTCCTTTTTCAATGAAGTAAGGTCTGATTATCAATTTGGTTACAGGCACTAAAAATCATCTTGTCATCAGGAATGCAGTTTTTAATAGAATGAAATCTCTTAAATTTAGGAATAAACTGACAAAATCCATATACTGATTTTTGTATTTATCAAATAGTACAAAATCTTTACTATTTATGCCACAATGAATAGATACTGTATTGTTGTCTAATTTGTTTTGATAAATTCTCTCAAATCACACATTAAAACTTTTATGAGAAATAAATTTATGGAATACTGAAAGTAATTTTTTTTTCTATCTCATACTTCACAAAAATGAATAGATTTATAAAAAAAACTTATGAAATAGAATCAATTTTGTGATCTAAGGTTGATTGCATGCTTAACCAAACTTTTAACACCCTCTGCTGGAGATTATGATGCTTTTCCTATGAGAAAATCCTTTCCTAAAAATTCTTGAAAATGGAAGCAGAATCAAACAGTTTTTGCATTGGAATTTTATCTATCTGCTTTTGTTTTCAAGAATGTCTAGAATTATTTTTCTATAGAAAAAGGATTAATTTTTAATGCCATCTGCTGGAAATTGCATGCATAACCAGAGTTACAATCAGCCTAAATAGATAGAAACAGAGGCAATTCATAGCTGACCACATTAAATATTGAAATTACTATTACTGAAAATTGTTAAAAGTCATTGATGACCGAATTGCAGTATTTGTCATGACAATCAAACTTGATTCATATTGTTGTGACACAATTTCATAGTAACTGCAGCAGATAACAATCTTGTTTTTTTGCAACAGTAACATATTTATTCTCTTTCTAATTTTTAAATTTAAATGCAGCAATTCACAGAATGTAATAAGTTTAAGCATCACAAATCTGATTAATAACTTTAAAAGTTTCTAGAAATACGTATAGAAGTGAGGGAAACAACATTTATTGTTTATTGTATAGTTTCAATTGTGAAAGAATATAACTGATAATATTAAATTCTTACTTGGTGTTGTTGATCCTGACAACGAATGGCAGGATGGAGACTTTTCCACACCTTGATCTTCCATAAGTGGTACACTTTTGCTACGTCCGGTTTGTTTTAGTCTCACGTTCAAATGTTTACTGATATTCTTGGAGTTATCACTAAATTTTTTACATCGATTTACATTTAATCAGTTGCTTATTGATTTTATACTTTGAAAACAATTATAAAATTCTTACGTAAGCATCTCTCTTTCTTTCATGAAATCCTAAACAATAAAATAAACTAATGATAAAAGTTGATTTAAATAATTCAAAATATAGAAATTCATTAACCCAACTTTTTAAATTAATGCCAATTGTTTGGCATTAATTCAAAAATTAATACTTACTATATTATAATATTTTTCCAAAAATTCTTCACCATTGACACTTGCAACCACTGGATCATCATTGTCAATATCCACTTCAATTTCAAGAACAGAATTCTAGATTTAAAAAAAAATATGTGTATCTTTACAGCTAATCAATCACAGTTATCTCAATTTTTCACAAATGCCATACCTCAGAAATCTCATCATTTTCCCATCTCCTGGACAATGACTCTAAGAAATATGGTTTAAGATTTGTATTAATTAAACAATTTAGCATAATTATTGATATTACAGATCAAAGTCAATAATCATATAATAATAATTACTATTCTGCTCACCTTCCTCTGTAATATTATTTAAAAAATCCTTCAAGTTGCATATTGTGGCTTTAAATTCCAAATCACAAATATTCTGTACAAATCAAAGATTTACATTCAATATAAAATTTATTTTTATTATCAAATAAAATACTTTTTACATACTTTTTCTTCTGGATAAATTATTTTCAATTTCTTCAATTCTTCTCTATATTTTACTTTCACTAAAACAAGAATATGTTAAAATGAAATCGTATATTTAAATTTATTAATAAAACTTATTACTAAAAAATTAACCAGAAGATATTCTAAACAGATTTAAGAAGAGTTTTATCAAAAGATTGGAATTGTGTGGTGAAGCAAATTCTTCCTCTGACAAGAAACATATCATATTCCTCAAGTCTGCTCTTTCTAGCAATTTTCTAACTCTGCAACTGTAATGGAAGTTCAAAATTATGTTTTGTAACTTTATTGTTATTTTATAAATTAAAATTAGCCTACTTCTCCGTCAATTTTAGGAGGGCAGCGGCCGACATTCCATAAGAGATGTTGCCTGCCCGTAGATTTTCTGAAACCATCTCCAGTAAAAAATTTACCACCTCCGGACGGGCCAAATAATTTCGACCTATGTCGATCAAAAATTTTATATTTATGAACCATTTAATTTTAATTAATTAAAGATCAAATAATAAATTATTTCATTTATTTTAAAAACAAATCAATGTTCTTGTACCGGTACATGATACTCAATTTAAAAACTGAGTTTTGTTAAGAATTTGATTTATTGTTAAAATTGAAAGAAATAATTATCAATGTAATAAATTAATTTTTTAAAGCTAACATTTTTATTTGTATGATTTAACTCCTTATCAATATGTTATTGATGCTAAATCTCTAAGCTGAAACTATTTTACATGTATTTTTCAGTTTTTATTTATTATTCCTTTTTACACATTATCCAAACCCCTAAAGCCCTTCAAGTGTGTATGTAAAATATAAATTAGTTTAAGCCTACAAAGCCATCTTATGTAAACAGTGTATTCAATGGTATCTGCATCTTAGGATTAAAAAGATTATTACAATAACAATAAAAGTTTCTTTAAAGTTATTTAAAAATATATAAAATTTAAATTATAGAATAAAATCCTTTTAATTTCATTTACAAGTTATGTTGAGTAAGTAGATCTAACCTAAAAATAACATGTCATACATATGTAAATTATTACATAAATTTGATTAGGATTCATTTACTAAACATTCCATATTATCTGAGTTTTTCATTGTAAATTATCCTTGGTTCACATCACCTTGAATAATTAGGATTCTATTCAGTATTCTTTGTTAGTAAGTCATTGTGAGAAATAAAAATGTTGGTCACAGAAGAATATAAATATTTAAAAAAAAATACCGGGAGACAGTCTACTTTACTAATGTATATATTAGCTTTCATATAGGATAAAGCTACATGAAAAACAGAAATGAATTTTTTTGAAAATAAAACATGAAAATTGATATGTAAGAGACCAAACTGTTAAGTTCAGGGCACCAAAATTATTATTTAATCAAATAATATTTTCAGTCATTCTAAGATTCTATGATATAGACATTTAAGCCAAAATTATTGTAATAATTGGACGACAATGTTGGATTCATTGTCAGTTAGAACTTGGCTAATTAATTTTGCAGATAAAGTAGAGCCTCAAAAACTCGGCACTCGATAACCTGGCACTCCGGATAACTCGGCCACACCCTGGCAGGGCAAAAATACCCTTAGATAATTAATTTTCATCATAGACAGCTTTATGCCTCATAAAGTATTTTTCTGAGGTCTGTCTTATCAGGTAAATTACTGTACACAGTGTATTCATTAATTTTCATTTTCATGCAGTAAAGGCTCTATGCCTTCATAAAATATGTACTTTTTGAATAGGGTATTTGGGCAGTTTATTCTCTGTTGTATTCTCAAGCAAACAATACATACAAGTACAGTACAGTATTTTCTGAGGAAACACTCATACTTATTTTTTTTAACCTCATCCCCGATAACCCAGCATTTTCACAAACTCGGCCACCCTTCGGTCCACATTAGGCT